AGAAGCGAAAGGCACTAACGATTTCATGTGAGCTGGCCATATTCCCATTGATCGTCGGCGATCGCAACTTTAAAAGCTCACTGCTGTATGCTTACTGTTTATGTGTGCACTTTATAAAGGCAGAGTCCAGTGGTAACGTGATCGTTGCTATCCGAAAACTGTTTCGCCCCGGCTTTCAGATAGTTTCGATTGAATTTCTAGGCTTCCCATGCATGGGCAGTGGTTCACAATATGCAACATATCATTCATGACGGAGACTTTTTTTGAGATTCACTGCACGAAGGAACAAATCCCGGTTTGTACAATATTGTATTATATTTCTCACCTGTTGTTCCAAGATGGCATTCTTTTCGCAATCTTTAGGATGTTGCCAGGATCCCACGAATCATGATGGAAACATTTGTGGATAAAAGAGGTTGAGAAGAGCATTGAAAGGCACGAAGACTGATCTCTGCATCTGCTGTGCTGGGATGAAAGCAGGACGCTCCAAATTACGGTTTTGTTGCTTCATCATTTGACCGCATATCAAACTGTAGATGGCTTTAGCTATTCAATAGTAGGAATGCTCAAGAAGATCGCGCTCAGCACAGAATACAAGCACTATGCATTGGGCATCAATAAGGTAAATCTATAGCCTTGAAAAGACGAATAAACCGTGTGAAAATTTCCAACACTGAACTTGCTTGGTCCCGCTGAACTCTAACCATTTTTTAGATGTGGATAAAGGATACAACTTTCAGAAATATTTGTGGACAGTGTTCCGTGATAGGGCTCTGCACTTTGGCTTTGAGGATACCTTTTCTGAGCTCTTCGAGAAGATGGTGCTTCCTAAAGCTGTTCTCTGAGACTGGAAAAGATTTCGATGTTTCCTACCAGAATCTGCTGAACCCTCCACTGTGGTGATTTAATTACGTTGAAGTGCTGTTAAGCGAAAGTTCACTGGAGAAATTTCATGCCAGCAACATAGACAGGTTTCAAAAACTCCACGTTCTTGTTTCATGGTCGCCTTGGCAGTGAGGAACTTGGCAGTGAGAAAGGAGCGACATGAACTTTTTTTTCAACATTATAACATGATTACCGCATGAAACAACTACCGCTCTCTTGTTGAAGCGCATTACCACAGCTGTCGTGCACAGAGTGTGGGTATCTCTTCAGCAAAAGCTCGATCCTCAGACACACAGTGACCGCGAGTTAAGGTTTAAAGTTCGTACGTTTCAGTTGAGAGTTTCCTTCAAGCGTGTGAATCCATCAGTAGCCAAGAACAAAAGGCTAGCATATATTAAACAATCAAAAGTTACCACGCACTAAGGACTATCGCTCAATAAATGAGGGCGACCACTATTCAGTCAAAGTAATGAATCACTCAGGCTGTTCCCGTACAACTGGGTCACACCTTCTAGCAGGGTCGCCAAATTACGAACAACGCAAGAAGCAAATTTGAACTGATATTCACAGATGCTGTTTCTTCTGTCCTAGTTTTGGTACTGTGGTGTAGAATTGTTTATGCTTACCTTGTTCAACCACCAAAATCTATGGTAGCTGCAGCGGTTGACTGATACTGACACCGTCCCTAAATCATTGGACTTCGACGTTGAGGGTTTTTGGCACGCGACAATTATCATCGTTTTGGTGTATACCCGAGCACTATCAATAGATGCTCCAAGTACAGGGGACAAGGAGCTGAATGCAGTCATTCTGGATGAGAAGGGCGTGTTTCTGTGGCGACCACGAACAATCTAAGGATTGTGTGCGATAGAATTTGCAGGTAGTTGACGCGCTGGTTTCACTGGATGTCACGAGAGATAGGAATCAGGGGGCTCTTTTGGATTTATCAGAGCCCATTGCTATCCTGAGTTTATTTTCACTTTGAAAATCGTTGCTGGGCCTTCCATCAAGTAGGAACTCCCGTTTACGAGGAAAGGGTGGTTCAGTACTAGTGCAGCATTGATGCAGAACCGATTTTTTCGACTTTGTCGGCTTATCGTGGAATAGCATTTTACGATCGAATCGATAGGTAGCTTCGGATCCCGTCCAGAAGCTCAGGCCTCGCATAAAACGTACATTTCCAGAGTTTCCGTAAGAAACCGCTCTAAAATGAGCTTGACGAGTCCTACTCGCCACATTGCGTGCCACAGTCGATGGTTCCTCGATGTTTCTGAGGACCCGTATAAACACAAACCAAGGAATTTCAAAAATTGCATGGATGTCGACGATTCAGAATGGGACTGTGCACGTCACTGCATTTTTGTTTTCAAAGAATTGCACCTTGCTCATCCTAGGCAACTCGAAGTCGCTGTCTCCGTAATTTTGGCGCACCCTGTATTGCCTTCACCAGTCCTGAGGTTCCAATTGCACAGTGTTTTTGTTCGTGCAGTGCAATACTTCTTTTCATAATCTACATTGAGACGTTTTCAGTTTCAGCGAGATCCACAGCTCTCAAATTTGTGGAGATTGTTCTGATCAGTTCCTTCGATAGCTCTTCCCCTGATTGAGCTCTTCCCGAACGTTTAGTAGTCAAACGCCCATATGCTCAGGCTCCTCAGTGAATCACCAGAGGTTGATGGAAAGAAGAAGTTCGTCTAGATTGGGACGAAACAAACCACCTTGGTTTCTACAAACATATTTCTATGGCTTTTTGGCTTTATTTTTGTTTCTGGTACACTCCCAGTCCTGAACGAAATGTGCTTCTACTATCAACATTACTAGGTTGGTTCTCTGTCCATCACAGACCTTCAAACAACTAACGGCTACTTCAACGCTGTAAGTTAAGCAACTTTTTCGGGTAAGATAGTACAAATCTAATGGAACCGATGAGCGAGTCCGCGGCGTAATAACTTTTCAATGCAGCTTCTCACCTCAAGCTCAAAAGAATAGCAGGAAGCTCACTCTACATACTTGGCACCGATTTCGAAGCCTTAGGGATGCCCCGTGGCTGTTCACCGTCCTCTTCGTGTACAGGTATCCGTTCGAGCCGCTTAAAGCTTTGAAGCAATTGAGCTATCAATTGGAAGATTGTCGAAACAGGTGTTACTACAGACCATAGGCCGTGACGTGGTCGTCGCCCGATCCTGTTCTTCTCAAAGGCGCTCTATAAAGACGAACCAAAGTAGGCGGAACGCATCACTTACGATATTTCAGTCCTCAGTGGCTAAGAAAGCATGCAGATCACCGTCAAATATCTACTCATCGCTACTACGATCAGCGTACTGATACCAGGTTCGGTTATTCTTTATAAATTCATCTCACTGTACGGCCTCAGATTTAGCATTGTTTCATGTTGTGCACTATGCACCCTTACTGTCTTTTTTGAACTTTTGCTGATTTTCGAGGACATTTTATACTTGGATTTTTGACTGTAGCAGACATCCTTTTTGCACTGACCACTACGCTGTAATAACGTAATTCATTTTGAAAATTTTGGATGCATTGAAGTCAGTGCTTTCTTCTCCAGTCGAAGTAGCACATTTCACTAGCGTTATTTAAAATTTTTGATAGACGCAATTCATAACGAGCGTCATTCTGCTTTCCCGACGTCAACTAAGAGTTCATAACGCCCTTGTGACATGGCTATGAAAATCTCTCATAATATTGACCACCTTCCCAAATAGTCGTTATTAATTAGTGTACTGTTTTTTTTACTCTCGTCATAAGGGGTTGATTTTCAGAGTGCTGGTCGATCACCGCTATTGACATCTACAAGAAGACTACTTGAAAAAGAGCGAAACGTTGATGACACCTTCGCGTACCATCTTATTCGACCTATTGGATCAGTGGCCGGCGAACTGGTGAGTGACTCTAAGTCCTTTCAGAGACAACTTTAAAAATCTTCTCGACCACCATTAAACTTGACGTCAAGTAAAAACCACCGTAGCACGCGGCTGTCATTACGCAAGATAAATTACCACCGTGACGTGACGTCATCACGATGCGTTCGCACGACCACTGTCGCGCGTATTAGCGGGATGCGCATGTACGCTCAATGAACCCTGAGAGGTGATTTGCGAAGCTCCCAATGTCCTGTTGACGCAAAACCCGCCGTAGATGTACCCGCCACTCACTCAAAGGAGCAACGAGATTGCCTTCAATGCTTCCCAGCAGGGTAAATCAGCGTTAAGGGTAGGTTGACCGGGAGGTGGGTGGGGTCTCCTACTTGACTCTCTGGGTAAGGTATGGACATATTGGTATCTTGAAGAAGGTCTGAGGCTCAATCAGGTGCAGGGACCCCTCTAGGAAGAACAATGGGTTTATTCAGAATTCTGTTTCTTCTCCAATTCTTCTCCAAAAAGTTCTCCAAACTTTGCAAAAATTTCTGTAGTTTGATGGAGATTGCAATAATTTTCCTGCCTTATGGTAGTATAAAAATGCATATGTTTTTTTTTTCCATAATTCACGAAAAGCATTTCAAAGTACTTTCCTGTGCAAGCGCTTGCCCTAAGTGTTTATTTTAAGATATGGCCACGAAGCTACGACTCATCGAATGAGCTGACCTTCGATGAGAACGGAGCCGCTTTCCCACTACACGAACGTCCAACACTCTCCAGAATCCTTCGTCGTTCAAGAATCTCATCGTTGAATGCTAACACTGCCTATAAGGATAGCTACAACTACAATAACTTCTATAATAACTTCAGCTAAAATATGCCTAGTATAGCTTTTATGATGTGTAGGAATAGCATAGCGACTTCTTTACTTTCCTCGTCGAATGTCGACGTTTTACGGGTTCAGCGATC